CTTCCATGTCCAACTTCTGAAGCCATATCAAGTTCCGAACATGGGCTTCACCGGACGCCAACCGCCGCCGCCGCCGCCCGTCCTCGTCCACGATGAACCCGAGTACGAGGTCGAGTCTATGTTCGCACACCGTCGTCATCGGAATGGCACTGTGGAGTTTCTCATTCGTTGGAAGGGTTATGATCCTTCTAAGGATAGTTGGGTTCCTGAATCTGAGATGGGTAACGCTCGTTGTTCTCTTCGCGACTACCTTGTCAAGCAGGGTGTTGCTTCTACCACCCAACTTTGAGGGGAGGAAGTGTAAGTGTATGACCCTGTTACACTTCTCATCTTTTTCCTCTATCTCATTCTTCTTTTTATCCCGATTCCTTTTATCTTAATCACATCCCATTTGGTTTCCTATTACTCCTTTCTCATTATCCTTTGGTTTATCCTATTATTATAATTACAGTATATCACCAACCAGGCTCGGGATGTACAAACGCGCTATATCTAGCGTAAACTTGCCGCAATCCATTCAAGCCAATAGCATCGCGTGGCTATACGCATGGTGATTCTATTTCTAGAAGGGTCTATTTCCTTTGAATAGGATAAACGTGGTTACCTGATGTACTTTGGAAGTATAAAGGCGCCTTGTATCAACCGATAGTGCAACTTTTCCTCGACACATTCGATCCTGTAACACTCACACTCAGACCCCTTCGTGAGCAGCCGATGCTTCAGCACTAGCGTGACAACTGCTTTGAGGTCCTTTAAGCGCTGCTCCCAGGTCTCACTGTAGATCAGTATATCGTTTAGGTAGACTATAAAACACTTATGTACGAGCGAACTGAGGATCTGGTTCATGGTCATCTGAAAATTTGCCGGGGCGTTCGTCAGACCGAATAGCGTAACTACATACTCAAAACTCTCGTACCTAGAACAAAATGCAATCTTGTGACAGTCAGCTGCGACTACACGAATCTGACGATAATCCCCGCGTAAATATATTTTTGAAAAGAAACGAGCTTTGCGAAGTTGGACGATCAGTTCGTCGGGCCGTGGGATCGGGTAACGCGACATGATAGTCAACCTGTTCAGTGCTCTGTAGTCAGTGCACATTTGGTACCCGCTGTCTTTCTTCGAGGTGAACAGTATGGGGGCGCCAAATGGCGAGGAGCTCGGGCGGATGATTTTTTTCTCGAGTAAGTAATCTAACTGCTTCCGTAATTCCTCTAAATCCGGCTATGTTAATCGAAATTGTCGCTCCACCATGGGCTGTGTCCCGGGTTCTAATTCTATTCGATGGTGAAAGGGTCGTCCCGGTGGTAATCCCTCGGGCAGGTTATCTGGAAATATATGTAAGAATCTGCGAATCAGCTGCGTTAAATTGGCCTGCACTGCTGCTGTCAGCTTCTCTAAATCGGACGGTTGCGATGTCACGTCGACAGCGCGAACGACTACAGCGAAGGCTTCTGCTCCCCGTGTGACCACTCATTTGATCGCCACAGAGTTCACCTGCGTCACTCCCTATGTGATCCCCTTCCTCCATTCTGGTCGCTTCATATTGGGGCCGTTGATTTTGACGAAACAGCTGCCGGTCGTCGAGTCAATTTTTGGGTTGAACCGTCGCAGCCATTCCCGTCCGAGCAACATATCGAAGTCGTCGAGTTTAGTTGGCAGTATCCCCATTGAAAAGTTGAGTTCAGCTCCCCAGTGTACCTGGATCCCGGCCGCTCTGTCCTTTATTGCTAGTGGTTCTCATCAACTAGTCGGGTGTTAACCACTGATATATATATATATATATATATATATATATTACCATGGTGAGGTTGATCAAACTATTGCTTGCTCCCCCGTCCACAAAGATTTTATTTTTTCCCCCTTGAACCCTACCGAGATGCACGGCGTATCGATTTTTTTGCGCGTCGTCGCTAATGAGTTGCTGTCGCAAAATACATTTAGGTGCGAAATCCATACGCTGACTGACAAGTTGTCACGCTGGCTCGGGTCCAACGTGGGCGGCCTCTGCGTCTTGAGAATTCTTGGCGCCATGCTGATGTCGGCAGTTTGCAGGCTGGTCGGGGGGGTAATTGGGGGCGGCAGGTTCACGTTTGTCCTTTCGCCAACCTACGCTCGCCCAATAGCCGGTCGCGGGTTGTTCGTTGTCTTAGAAACTTAGGACTAAAGGTTCTTAAACTTAGGAGGCTATGTTGGCTAGGATACTAGGAAGAAGACCGCCATGGAATGGCGTGAGGAAAAACGGATCTAGGAGGTGAGAGGATGTCGAGAAGAAAGGTGGTTGGATTAGGAAGAGAGGGGAGTACAAGGAGGGGTTTGTACCCCCTACAGAAAGGTTCAGTAACAACCTACCAAGCCTATATTAAATTATAACTTATATAATTTTAACACACCCCCTAGGCTTGGTAGTGTCAAGCCCACGCACACCCCCACACCCACACCCACACCCACACCCCCTAGCCCAGCACCCCCATTCCCAGCAGGAGCCGCAACGACTCCGGAAGAGGGTAGGTCTCACGGCCCCTTGAGACGGCAATGGCGGCAGCAGCGACAGTGACGACGGCGGCGGCGGCGGCGGCGGTGTGCGGCGGCTCCAGGCCTGCGGCAACAGCGGCGGCGCCGGCGGCTCGAACGACAGAGGCTGGTGCGGCGGCCCCCGCCCTCTCGGCGGCATGTCCTGTCTCCTCGGCGGTGGAGAGGTCCCTCACATGGCAGTCATCGGCTGCAGCAAGAAAGGGGGGATGCAGGGGAAGCAGGTGCAGGTGGGGGGGGGAGGGGAGGGGGCGGGGCGAGGCGAGTCTTCAGCGACGCGCCATAAGTGGCGCGGCGCTTACTGGCAGGAGGGCGGGCAGGTGGCGGTTACGACGGCGTGCTGCCCGCTGCCGCCCATCCACGCTGCCGCGGCAGCATGACGACGCCGCCAGGGCGCGGCGTCGACGCTGTGGCGGCACGCCGACGCTGCAACGGCAGCAAGGTGACGCTGCCACGGCAAAGCGTCGACGCAACCGGCTGCGGCCCGACGGCGCCGTCGACGCTGCAGCAGGACGTCGACGTCGCGACGGCAGAGGCAGCGTCGATGCCGCAGCGGGACGTCGACGCTGCGACTGCAGAACGACGGCCCGACGCCACGGCAGAGCGTCGAGCCGGTCGCGGCACGACGCGGCCAGTGGCAGCGCGACGTCGCCACTGCAGCAAAACGCGGCCGCCATGGCCGCTCGAGCTAATGAGAGTGAGGAGTAAATTGCGGAAGCGTGAGGAGGCGATCCAACAGGGAGGATCTCCTGCTCTGATACCATCTTAGAAACTTAGGACTAAAGGTTCTTAAACTTAGGAGGCTAGGTTGGCTAGGATACTAGGAAGAAGACCGCCATGGAATGGCGTGAGGAAAAACGGATCTAGGAGGTGAGAGGATGTCGAGAAGAAAGGTGGTTGGATTAGGAAGAGAGGGGAGTACAAGGAGGGGTTTGTACCCCCTACAGAAAGGTTCAGTAACAACCTACCAAGCCTATATTAAATTATAACTTATATAATTTTAACACGTTGAACCCTCCGGCGAAGCCGCATGCGGTCGCTAATTGTCGCCAGGTATTTTGAAACGCTGCAGGATTACTTGCTCATGTTGTCGTTGATTTGTCGTTGGTGCGATTGTGTTGTGTCATGTTTGAGACATTCGGCTCCATAGTGGAGATGTATCGGATTCAGCTTGGGTCGTTTCAGCTCGCAGACGCATCAACTCCTGCTGGTACAACTCGTGAGTTAGACGAACTTCGTCAATTGCGGCCACCCTTTCTTCAGGAGTCATGGCGATATACGCCAATAGATCCACCATTTTCGCAGAAAGTTTTGGGCTGCGTTCGACACGCTGGTACTGCGAACACAGTCGTGGCTGTAGGCAATTATCAATGAATATTACCAGGACAACGGATATGCAGTAAGCACAGGGCGTCAGCCTCCCTAAGTGTCGGTATTGGAACGGAACTAGAGCGCAATGTTGAGGATCGTTGGCTGTTATACCATGTGTAATGAAGGGCAAATATCATATGTCGAATGATTGATTGACGAGGAAACAGTACAACTGAGGCAACATCAAAACAGCAGGGAGCATGGATATAGCTAGCCTAGGAGCACATGGTCGTGGCTTGGCATGTTGCAGCGCGTGGTTTAGGCATGCAACAGCAAGGCGTGCAAGAATGCATGCGGCTCGTCAGGAGACCACATTTGGGACCGCGATTTGAATTTCGTGGCAGAGCTGCAACCCCGTTATAGCCGTGTACGCCTTACTGACTAGACCCCTTGATAAGGAAATACCATTTCCTTACACATGTACATCATGGTCTTAGTTTGAATATTTCTTCCACTCATAGCACAAGAAACATCGTACATGTAACCTATCTTGTGACACTTGACTATAAATGAGCCTCACTTGCACCAAACTTCGAGCACCTTTCTTTACTAGGTGCGCTCGAGTGTGACCTTGACTGGGCAGTGCGACTCCCCTACGTGACGCGTGTGCCACGCTGACACGAATTCGACAGGTCTTGTTCCGCCTCCTCACAGGCTCATGCTTCCACCCGTCATGTAGCAGGCCGGATTGATATTGTGCATTTAGCCCCTTCTCAGTCAAAATAGTCTGGTCAACGAGTCCGAAAAAATAAGGTACCGTATTCGTGCTGTACAATACTCGTGTTACGTAAATATTCACTTTTAACAAACTGTTGTCGCCGCAAATATTAGACATCTGTGCCCAGAGCAGCTCCCACAGCAAGTTTCATTCCCGCCCAACTGACCCATTGAGCAAACACGATGTTTTTAGGGTGCCCTGCAGATAGTTTGCTCCCCCACTCCCTAGGTCAGCAGCACCGAGCCGCACATTTGCCACGCGGCCCGTCAAATCGCCCCTCGAACTGCTAGGTGCCTCTCTCGTCTCGAGTCGATTCTCCCTGGCGTTGCAGCCTTGCCCAAAACCACATCAGGGCAGGCCAGCCGAGAACACTAAAATCCCAGCACCACAGTCAGCACTCTTGATCAGAACAGGCTCGTTGAAACGACTGGAACACACACAGCTGGAGCTACGGCATCGGAGCGAACTCACCAGCATACTCGATTCTCACAACAGTTTCGCAACCCGGGCTAGTTTTTCGGCAAAGGATCGTCTGAGAACGTCTACAGGGTCGAAGTAGTGTGCATTCATCATGTCTCTCATCCGACGCCTTTTAGCGCTCTGTGTGATCCTCGGTGAGCGTTCCCCTCTCCGCAGCCCGCGCTTGGCCCGTTCTCAGTGCATATCTTCGTCTCTCCCATCCCGCACCCCTATTCTGCCCACTAAACCTTTTCTTCCCAATCCGGTATCTCCCGCGTCTCGCAGCGGTCGTCGGGTCGGCCAGCGGGCAATGCGCGCGCACGTTTCAGGTGAGCGAGATCCCTGTCCCCTCACGAGTTCCAGAACTGCAGCCAGCAGTATGCTTCCAACTCCCGCACTGAGTCAACCTGCATGCTCCGTTACTGTCTCACCTGGCTTTCTGCATACCGCGCCGTCCCTCCCCCTTCCCACTCCCCTGAGCAGCAATGCGACTTCTTCTTCCTGTATAACCGGGCGCGTCCACCGATTTTCCAGCTCTCGCCGCTGCAGGTCAACCGGCTCCTCAGCACCCCCGTGTACCACAGGTGAGCGCCCTTGAGCCCCGCACAACCGCACAGCGCTCCTTGATGCTGCACGGAGCCACAGCAGTTCCTCCAGCGCTCCTTGATGCTGCGCTCCTTGGTGCCTTTTCAATCCATGCCACGGCAGTTCCACCTTCCCTGCATATCCTGCGTGGCTGGTTAAATCCAGATGTTGGTAGGTTATGCCGCCATAACTGGTGCGACTGGTGAATGGTATGGGGACTTTCGGCTGTCTCCCGTCTAGCATGTTTTTATCGTCATCGTGTCATTCTTCCATCGTTCTTGTTATCGCCGTGTGTGAGGCTTACAATCTAGACCAGTATTGCACGGGTCTCAAGGGTCACAGGGAAAAGAGACTATCACGTGATGCAATCGAGGTGACGCTCGAGACTAGCTTTGAGCCGCCTCAAGACGAAGTGATGCACGAGGTCATATAGCATGACGCACGTGCCTTGATGCTCTGGGCTCGGTATTATTGTTAGCCGACACCACTATGAGCCGCAATAGCGGTTGACTGATGCGAGTCGCTCTTCGTGCCGTTCACTTGCGCAGGACTGGGCTGAAAGTGCTATCTGCGAACAGCAACGGCAACATGAGTTGCAATGTACGTTCTCGCACCTAAGATGAGGCTCCGGACAACTCGCTGTAGGAGACTACAGCTACTGAGGGATTTCGTTTATTCCGCAGTTGCTCCCAAGGCTGCTTGCGACGTCTGGCCGCCTTCCTAATCCGACGTAGTGTTCCGTCATGCTGTGCGACGCCTGTTGAATGTTGCGTGCTGAATGTCGCATGCTGCACGCGTGTTGCATGTCGCATGTCGCATTCCGCATCTCCCATGTTCCGTGTCGTCCGTCGCAACTGCAGGGCCCCCAGTGCAGCCCGATCTTCTACTTCACGAGCGCCACAGTGAGCTCCGCTGGCGGGGGCCGATATCCCATGGCGGCCAACTGCCTGGCGCAGCACCCCATCCCCACATACGTCTACAAGGTGACCACCGCACTCCACCACGCTATACACCTGTAGAGTAGGCAAGTCAGTCCGTCTGACCCGTCGGAGTAGGTCGATTTTACTGACTGCTATTTGCCCTTGTCCTAGGTAGAATCGCGACAGGTGGTGTCAACCGTGAGGTAGTCCCATCCCATCGCAGATACAGCGACCGAATATTAGGGACGACCGGGCTCACTGTATATTAGAAAATACTGCATCTGCGGCTCTTTCCTTTTCCTCATTCCAACATCGTGGTGTGACTTGGCGGCATTCCTCCCACTTCTCATATGGCAGGAGTACCGCAATAAGTGCATTCTTCTTTACATGGATAACCTCGTCCTACCCCGCATTGGCTGGTTGAACCCTAACGACAACAAGCAAGAGAAATTTCCAGAGGTGAGAGCATACCAGCTTTGTTGGATGGTTCCACCATCACAATTTCACGTACATTTACCTTCCAACCTGCATGCCTGACACCATGGCGCCTCTTTTCTGTTCCCAGAGTCGACGCTGTGTTGTTTTCTACACCAAAATATGACACCAGACCTCCAATTAGGACCAATAAATTGCCCATAATTGAATGTTTCAAAGGGCAATAATGGCATGTTGCCATCTAGATTTTTTATTGAGATTACCTGTATGTTTAGAGCTCATTCAATAAGCAGATTAAATGATTAAATAACGGAGGTGGGCATGAGCTAGCATTGTAGGATAAACATACTAGGATGAACACTTTTGTTCACAAAGGTCAGCACCCACCTTCGTAGCATTGTAGGACGAACAGAAACTTGTGATAAAAGGTGGGTATTTGTCATGGGCATGGCTATAATTGTGATGTATAGGAGGATAGTGATGTAAGGACATGAAGTACATGGTATGTAATTAGCACACCTACAGAGTCAGTTTCTGAGAATTCAGTCGAGTGGTTGGTTGTGTGGCGGACGTCATGCAGCTCCCCTGCTGACTCGACATTGGCGAAATTCGCGTTGACCACTGGGGCGTGGCCGCACTGACCCAGCTCAGCTTGTTGTGGGGCACCTAGCACGACTGCCATGTAAGCAGTCAACTGCCAAAGGAGCTGCTCGGAAGCAGGGCTGTCGATTGGTTTGGGACCAATACTTGAGTGGCTGAGGTCCCCCGAAAACAGCCCTGAAATTTCCGGAAAGCGACCAAACTGAGCCCTGAAGCGTACGGGCTGGGGTCCAAACCAGAACTTAAAATCAGGGCTGCGCCGGAGTCTGTACTTTGCTGGAAAGAAAAAAAAAAAACTTCGTAATCGTACATCAGGTTAGGCAAGATGCTGAGTGAGTGGGGAGGCCAGCCTATTTTAGCAGGAGAATTTGTGTGCCAAATGTGTTAGTAGTGCACATTTCTCAGTTATTCATAGGTGTCACGGACTGAGCCAGTTTCTGGGATGCGGGAGTGTGTGAGAGGGGCTTGTGACTCGCTTTGGAGACGGCCAAAACAAAAACAAAAAACAAAACAAAACAAAACGGTGGAGATGGGGGAGGGGGAAGTGGGGGTGTGGGAGGAGGGGATGTTGAGTGGAGGCTTGTTGAATTCTCTGGGGGTGCGAGGGGGTTGGGAGGAATGTCTGTGGGTGTGGGGAACTTCATCAATTTTCCTATGTTTGGTTGGGGTGTGGGAAGAATGTCTCGGGTTTGGAGGACTTAGAGAGGAATTTTCTGGCTGGGGGGATTCTCTGGGGGTGCGAGGGGTGTGGGAGGAATGTTTCTGGGTGTGAGGGACTTCGAGGATTTTTCTGAGTTCGGTTGGGATGTGGGAGGGATGTCTCTGGTTTGGAGGACTTCGCCAAATTATACTAGCCGAAGGGGAAGGTGGGGTGGTGTGGGTGGGCAAGGAAGGTATGCCTAGGTCAGGGTATGTCAAGACTCTGTTACGGAAAATCAGGGAAAGGCCTCAACTCCGCCTTGAACAAATCCGGGAAAGGGCCGAACGAAATCCTTAACCATCACGGAGTAGTCCCGAATCAAACCCGTAAAAGTCGGACCCTGACGGACGGCTTACCCGGAATGTTCAGGGCATTAAGGGCATTTGCCCTTGAATCGACAGGCCTGCTCGGAAGTACCGAACCGAACGCGCAAGCCTGATTGTGCCCACAATGTCCCGGACCAAATGATCTGGGCTCCGTAAATCCCCCGACGCCGTCGATCATTTCCCCCGACAAAACGCGCCGCTGCCAAACCTATCCACAATTTTCTCACACACACATTGCCACAGCCGCCTGGCTGGTCAGGAATGCTGGATGTCCCGTGCCCCGAGTCTGTCACCCGTCCCGTCCCGTCCCGTCCCGTCCCGTCCCGTCCCACCTGCTTCTTTTGCCGCCAATTCCTCCCCATTTACACGCACACTCCACAAAATCCTCCGCTCACTCCCTCTCCCGCCGCCGCCGCTGCTCTCCAGCAGCCCTTCCCTCTCGAGGCTTGTTAGCGCCTCGTTATCGCCTCTCGCGTATCTCCGCCCCCCGGACAGGGATCGCGATTCCGCCAGCATGGGTGGCTTCTCTGCCGTCGCTTTGCGTGCCGCCAGGAATTCGACGCGTCGCACGTCGCAGTTGCTTGGGCGGCAGCTAAGCGGCTACTGCAGCAGCAGTGCTGCTATCGGCGAGCAGCAGTTTGAGCATGTGAAGGAGTAAGCCAGTAGTTAGCGCGGTAGCCTCGCGGTTCTTACGCGCAGTTTATAAGGACGGTTCGACTATTCGCTCTGTCGCAGTAGCAATAGCCAAATAGGCGGCTTGTCATTTGCGTGACGAACAATGTAGTAGAACATTCTCTAATACGCCCATTGGTGAAATAGTATTTGCATGTCTTTACCCTCTCTTCCGTCTGCCTCCGTTCTCCTCCTTCGTCACCATGCCATCGCTCCCGCAGGTTGCGCCCATCCCCCCAATCATCCGCCTCCGCCTTCCGCCACTTGCACTCCGCCCGCCCCTCCTCCGCGCCCGCCGATGCCTCCGCGCATTCCGCGCCCGCCGCCCCTTCGTCCTCCGCTCCGTCGTCCGCCGCCGCGTCCTCCTCTGGTAGGAGCATCCGCTTCTCTGGCAGAGAGAGCTCGTGACTCAGAGCCACTGTATCTGCTGCTGCTGCTGCCACTGCTGCCGCTGGTGATTTATGCAGATCAAGTTCTCCCCTGCTTTTGTTGCTTGTTTGTTCCCCCTCCCCCCCCCCTCCCTTGTGTTTCCGCCACGCGTGTCTGCGCAGCCTCCAGCGCGGAGTTCTGCACGGGCGTGCAGCGCAACGGCAACATCGCGAAGCTGCAGGCGGGGTACCTCTTCCCCGAGGTGGCGCGGCGCAAGGCCGCGCACATCGCGCGCACGCCCGCCGCCAGCGCGCGCATGATCAGCCTGGGGATAGGCGACACCACGGAGCCCATCCCCGCCGTCATTGCGCAGGCCATGGCGAACGTGAGTGCCAAGGGAGCGCCTGATGGCCTGATGGCCTTGCGGAAGGGGGACGGGGGGAGGGGGGGGGGAGGAGGGAGAGGGGGCGCGAATGGTTGAGGGGGGAGGGCGGGGGGGCCTGCTGGGGCTTGGAGCTGGGGGAGTTAGTCTGGTCTGGTGGGCCTTGTGTTGAGTTTGGGTTTGGCCCCAGACATGGTGCGACACTAGGGGGGGCGTCCCAGCGGTGGCTGCTCAGGCCATGGCAGACGCAAGAAGCAGCGGAGGAGCGCTTGGGCGGGGATGGGGACTTGTAAGGGGGAGTGGTGCGCTTTGAGCTTTGTGCCCGCAAGCAGTGAAAGCAGTGACTGTCTCTTTTGCCCGTCAACTTTGGCGCTCTCCCCAACTCCTTCTCTTCCCCCTTCCTTCCCCCCCCTTCCCCCACCCTCCCCCCCACTTCCCCCCTCGCTCCCTCGCTCTGCCCATTGCGCGTGTGTGCATGCCCGCCACCCACACAGAGAGCAGCGGGACTGGGAACACTGGAGGGGTACACAGGATACGCTGGCAGTCAGGGGGAAGAGGTGAGACGACAAGCAGCAACGATGGGTGATAGAGGGAGCAGTGCAAGAGGCCTTGGGCGAAAGATTGACGGGGTTGTATGCAAGAGAGGGTGGGGGTGAGAGAGTGGGTGGGAGGAATGCCCATTGTGGAAAAGGGGTGGTGCAAGGATCCCACACTATCTGCCTCAAACCCCCCGACCCCCCCCAACCCCCTACCCCCCCTTCCCTCCTCCCTCCCCTCCTATCCGGGCAACATTCCCTCCCTCTCTAATCATGCCTCCGTCCTCCCTTTCTTCCCGTGCAGGCCCTGCGCCGAGGCATAGTGGCGGCGTTCTACGAGGGCATGGGCGTGCCGCACGACGATGTCTTTGTCTCCGACGGGGCTAAGTGCGACATCGCACGCCTGCAGGTGGGCGTGCACATTGCACATGGTAGCTAACCACCATGTATTTCCATGTCACCAGGCATTCCCATGGCACCATGCATTCCCATGGCACCATAAATTCCCATGGCACCATGCTAGAGAGCCTTGCATGTAACGACTGTTCCACCTTTTCTCGCTCATGGCACCATTTCTCATTGCTGGTTGCGTTTGCTCCTCCCCCCCTCACCCCTCCAGATGATGTTTGGTGCTGATGTCAGCATGGCATGCCAAGACCCTTCATATCCGGTGCGTGCATTTTCTGCATATGCATGCACCAACGTATCATGCACCAACGTATCATGCACCAACGTATGCATGTATAGCTCCAAAACAAGTTTCCTGCACTTCATTTAACCCCTGACCCATGCAATCTCTGCATCCATAATCTTGCCCTCTCAACTCCCCTCCCCCTTCCCCCCTCCCCCCAAAACCCTTTGCCCCCCATCAGGCATACGTGGACACGAGTGTGATCATGGGGCAGACAGGCTCCTACGACCCTGCCTCGCAGCACTATGCCAACATCAGCTACCTGCACTGCTCCCCTGAGAACGACTTCTTCCCTGACCTCGCCTCCGCCCCTCGCACCGACATCATCTTCTTCTGCTCGCCCAACAACCCCACCGGTAGGAGACATCTTAAAACCGCATGATGATAATCGAGTTTGAGGCGCGTTTTCAGACGTCTAAAAAATTCTGCCCCTCGCACCTGCGTCATCTTCTTCTGCTCGCCCATCCCCTACTGGTGCCGACTGCATCTACCACCACGCACACACCAGACATACATACACTACACTGCATCCGTTCACACCCGTCTCCAATCCAATCCTCTCCTCTCCTCCCCCCCTCAGGCAAGGCGGCGTCGCGGGCGCAGCTGGAGGAGCTGGTGGCATTTGCGCGGCGCAACGGGTCGATCGTGGTGTACGACAGCGCGTACGGCATCTACATCGAGGACGACAGCCCGCGCTCCATCTATGAGATCGAGGGCGCACACGAGGTGATGGTGGTGGTTGCATGAGATGATGATGGTGGATGCATGAGGTGGTGATGGTGGATGCATGAGGTGGTGATGGTGGATGCATGAGGTGGTGATGGTGGATGCATGAGGTGGTGATGGTGGATGCATGAGGTGGTGATGGTGGATGCATGAGGTGACGGTGGTGGATGCATGAGATGGTGATGGTGGATGCATGAGGTGGTGATGGCTGGATGGGGCGACTCATATGGGGTTACAACCCATCTCCTGAAATCAAACCATTGTCTCACTAATCATCCCCTGACCTTGCTCCTCCACTCTCACTCCCCAGGCTGCCATCGAAAACGGCATCTTTCTCCAAGTATGCATACTTCACAGGGGTGCAAGAGACGTGGACACTGGTGCCCTCCTCCCTGTGCTACTCAACCACTCATTTCGTTCTTTCCCACTTTCTGACCCTGCTTCCCTATTCTCAGGCCACAGGTGGCCATCGAAACAGCATCGTTTGTCCAAGCATGCGAGCTTCACATTGGTGCATGAGACGAAGAAACTGGTGCCCTCCCTTCGCTACTCCTCCTACTCCCCCACTCATGTTGTTCCTCCCCACTTTCTCACCCTGCTGCTTCCCTATTTTCACGCCCCAGGTGGCCATCGAAACGGCATCTTTCTCCAAGTATGCAGGCTTCACAGGGGTGCGCCTGGGGTGGACTGTGGTGCCGTCCACTCTGCGCTACGCCAACGGCCATGCAGTGAGGGCGGACTTCAGCCGCATTGCCAACACCGCCTTCAACGGTGCTAGCAACATCGCTCAGGCGGGCGGCACTGCCTGTGTCTCATCGCAGGGGCTGCAGGTCAGTCAGACTCCTTGCCTTTGACCTCTTGTTAAGCCCATCATCACTTCTTGCCCGTAAAAGCCCCTGCACGTCATAATACTCAAAGAGTTATATTTGTCCTTCAAATGCCAGCTCCAAGATCACCATTGACCGTTCCATGCTACGCTACCCTTATCTCCCCCCCCCCCCCCCGCGTCCCCCATCCCCATCCGGCTTCTCCCTTTGCAACCCCTTGGTTGCTTACCCTCTCCCTCATCCAGGCCATGCGGGGTCTCATTGCCTTCTATAAGGAGAACGCCAGCATCCTGAAGACCGCATTCTCAGAAGCTGGTCTAGAGACCTATGGTGGAGTGAATGCCCCTTATGTCTGGGTGCGCTTCCCTGGCCGCTCGTCGTGGGAGGTGTTTGAGGAGATTCTGGCTCGCACTGATATGGTTACAACGCCCGGGAGTGGGTTTGGACCTGGTGGAGAGAGCTTCATTCGTATTAGCGCTTTTGGGCATCGAGAGAATATTGTGGAGGCGGCGCGGCGCATGGTGGAGCTCTATGGCAAGAGCTGAGGAGTATTTAAATCGAGAAGAGAGGGGTTTTTAGTGAGGTGGAATTTGGTGCGGGAAGATAGTCGAGCAAAGAGGACTTCGGAAGAGTTGTAGTATGAAAACTCTTGTTTGCATTCGCTGTTTCTTATCGATGGTTCATTTTTGGTAGGAATGGTCATATAAAGGATACGAGGCAAAGGATAGAATTTCGCCCATCATGATTGGCCGTGCCGACCTCGTGGTTTGGGCAGGGCACATTCATTGAGAGAGACCCACAGCCCATCACCAGTCATCGCCTTCGCCACTGCCGGACCAAACCAGACTCGAGCCTTGGGTTTGTCGCGCCAGCCATAACATCACCCAACCAGGCGGAGAGCGGGGATGCGTAGCGCTAGCGACAGAGCTGGGAGGAGCGGATTTCCAGGGGGATGGGGGGAGATTTGGCGGACACCACCACCCGCAGCAACTGCAGCAGCAGCAAAGAGGGACACCTTGATTTTGGTTCCAGTGGTATTCCCAAGGCGCTTTGGCACCCCAGGCCACGAATGATGGTTTGCCCCTGGAGGTGCTAGGCACGGCCGTTGACAGCTATTATTTTTCCAAGAAGGTCGCACTTCTTGCGGAGGCGGAGCGGCTTGGCTTCGGAGCTGAGGAATCTGGCATTGGACTTTTTTCTCTCCTGCTGTCCGCTTGCAACGAGACTCAGTGAGTATCATCGCGAGAGGGACCTTGCACTGCTGCATGTCGCTAACACCGTCGCGTAAGCCTGATCCTTCGCATTGCGACGGGGATGACGTCGCATTCATCGTCGTCCGTGCCTCTTCGCGTAGAGCCCAACCACGATCTCGGCAATGAGTTGCAAGCCACGAAGATATTATCCTCTCTAAGCTTTACGTCGCTGGGGTCGCTAACCAAGCTAGCGAGGGTTTAGTCCATCGCACTATTACCTTGTACTCGTTGCTGCTTGCCCCGCTGCTGACGTTTGACTTTTCGCTCGTTCCTTGCGGGGTCTGGATGTAATCTCGAACATTGTACGGCTATGATTGCCGCTCACCACTCACCATTTTATTGCTGATACATTGCTCGTCTTGCTCCCTTTTAGTTTTCCTCCCGCCACCCTTCCTCACAACAACTCCACCTCTCCCCCCCCCCTCCCCCCCCGGTCTCCCCCCAGCAGCTGACTCAGCATGGCGGAAGAGCCCGTCGAGTCCGCTCCCCCCGCCGCCTCATACGCGGATGACTCCGCCACGCCGCTGCTGGCGGAAGCCACCGGTTCGGGTGCGCAGGCGGAGAACCCCGAAGGGGAATCGGAAGGTAAAGTAAAGGGGGAGAACCCGCAAGGGGAATCGGAGGATCAAGGAGAGGGGAAGAACCCGACAGGGGGATCGGAGGGTCCAGGAAAGGGGGAGAACCCGGCAGGGGGATCGGAGGGTCAAGGGGAGGGGGAGAACCCGGCAGGGGGATCGGAGGGTCAAGGGGAGGGGGAGAACCCGGCCGGGGGATCGGAGGGTCAAGGGGAGGGGGAGAAACCGGCAGGGGGATCGGAGGGTCAAGGGGACGGGGAGAACCCGGCAGGGGGATCGGAGGGTCAAGGTGAGGGGGAGCGCCCGGAATTGGGCGGGGATTCTCCGGGGAGCGGAGGGGGGGTTGCGCGCAGTGTGGAGGAGATAGCGGCAATCAGTGCAGCTGTGGCGGCCGCGACGAGCGGATCCGGCGGAACGGATGAAAGCGCGGGGGTGAAGCGGGGGAGGGGCGGATGGGGAGGGCTAGGAAGCTCGAGCATGAAGCTATCGAACGTGCGACTCGGTGACGTGGCAGAAGAAGAAGCAGAGGGGCAGGACAATGCATCTTCGCAGTTCAGCGCGGCCCCAGCGGGGGAGGGGGAGAAGGGGATGCTCGTGCCTCCGCCGACCCCCCGCACTCCGCGCCCGGGCGAGGCGGGGTGGCGCGCGCGCGTGGGGCGCGGCGAGTCGTGGAGCGAGGCGCTGCTGTTGCCGCTGACGGCGGGGCTGTCGGATTTCGACGTGGTGGACCCGAAGCACGCTAGCAGCGACGCGCTCATGCGGTGGCGGCGCATGGCGCTCGTGAGGAACGCGACGAGGCGGTTTCGGTACACCGCGGACCTGCAACAGAGACGAGAGCAAGAATCGAAACCACCCACTCCTAAAGTGCGCTCTCGCTCGCTCTCTATCTCTCGTTCGCTCGCTGTCTCTCCCTGGCCGGGTTACCTCCGTTGATCTCTCTCTCTCTCTCTCTCTCTCTCTCTCTCTCTCTCTCTCTCTCTCTCTCTCTCTCTCTCTCTCTCTCTCTCTCTCCGCGTCACATCACATCCACTTGACGCACACCCTTCCTTTCCATTTCCTCCAAGTTTTTGCAGAGTGGTTTTTTTGTTGGTTTTTTGTTTGTTTTTTGTTTTAAATAATAATAATAATAATAATGATTATTATTATTATCAAAAACACCTTCGCACAAACCCCTTCCTTTCCTCTTCCTCCAACCAAGCAACAAGTTCCCCCTTACGAGACTCCTGTAAGACTCAAGCAACTCGTCTGTGTGTTTCGTCTACTCTTTGTAACTTCCCCATACCTTCCCCCTCTTTCCCCCCTTCCCCTTCCCCCCCTCCCTTTCCCCCCGCACCCCCCAGATGTCAACCGGCCTCTCTCGTTTCCGAGGGGCTGCCAAGGCGCTCAAGGCAGTGGCGCGCTTCAAATCAGGTCTGCCCGCCCTCCGCCCTCCGCCCTCCTTCACCACCTTCCGCCCCCCTCCCTCCCGGTGCCCGGCGTCTCCGCCCCCATGCATGCACATCACTGCCACCTCCGCGCTCTTCCCGCCCAACCCCTTTCTCCTTCCCACCCCCTCCTCCCGTCGCCTCTTCTCTCTACTCACGCCCTTCCCCCAACCCCCTACCCCTTCCGGCTACTTCTCCCCCCCTGCCCCGTCCCCCTTTCCCCCATCACCCTGCAGTGCTCCCCCGCCTGTCCGACGCGGCGTACAGGGCTGCGCGCGCGGAGGGCTTTAGCGTGAGCGCGAAGCAGCTTGCGACGATGGTGGGGGGCCAGGACACTAGCGCGCTCGACTCGTATGGGAGCGCGCAGGGGGTAGCGCGGCTGCTGGGGAGCAACGTGGCGGAGGGGATAGGCGGAGGGGAGGGGGATCTGATGCGCAGGCGCAAGGTGTATGGCGCAAACACGTTCCCAGAGCAGCCGCCCAAGACGTTCGTGCAGTTCGTGTGGGACGCCATGCAGGTGAGGAGAGGAGAGGAGGGGCTTTGAGATGTGCTCACGCATGTACTCGGAAAATGTGCTGACACGGTAAGGAAGGAGTAACAATAATGCGTTAGTAGTGAGAGGCACATGAGTGTTGCCCTGCGAGTCTTGTGCTCGCCAGTTGTGCCTTTCCCCCGGACCCCCCTCCCCCCCCTCTGCTGTTCGAACATGGTTCATTGTATATGTGCACGGTTCATCCTATATGTGGAAGATTCCTCCTGTACTTGTGTATACCTCCACAAATTCCCATGCGTGAGCACGCCTGATGTGTGTGCATGACGGCCCAAACGCATGCATGGCTGTGTGCGCATGACCCTGCACATACGGCCCTATCTATTTCCATGTCTGCCCCCCCCGTGCAGGACATGACGCTGTGGATCCTAGCAGTGTGCGCGGTGGTGTCGCTGCTGGTGGGGATCATAACGGAGGGGTGGCAGGAGGGGTGGTACGATGGAGTGGGGATCCTCATGAGCATTCTGCTCGTCGTCTTCGTCACTGCCACCAGCGACTACAGGCAGTCGCTGCAGGTCAGTCCCTCCTCTGGGTTCTTCGTTCCGTCTTCATGTACCAGGCTATCAGCCAGCCCTATCCCCTCCCCCCCCTGCCTCCCTCCCCGCCCCCACCCTCCTCATCACTTCTCCCCCCCTCAACCCTTTCCCCCCTTCTCTCTCCCTCCCTCCCTGACTTTTTTTTGTTTGTTTCTTGTCCCTCCTCTCTCCACGCTTCTGTTCCCTGCGTTACTGGCCTTGCACCCCCCTCCGCCCCACCTCCTCCCCACTACCTCCTATACACGTGTCTCATGGCGCATCCATCCCGCGTTCCATGGCACCCGTGACGCCTGCTCCCTTCATTCCCCCGAGAGCAGTTTCAGATGCTGGACCGGGAGAAGAAGAAGGTGGCAGTGGAGGTGGTGCGCGGTGGAGTGCGGCAGAAGGTGTCCATCTATGACCTCGTGGCGGGGGACGTCATTGTGCTCTCCACGGGGGATATAGTGCCCGCTGACGCTGTATTTATTGGAGGTAGGTAGGGTGCCGTGCTTGCTTGCAGCAGTTGTTTTCTTAGTTTCCTCTCTTGGCAAGAGCCCTTGTGTTCTCTCTTGGATACCTTGTGCTCGTGCTACTTGAAGGCGCAGAAGGCTTGCTGGTGTGTCTAGGGGCATACCTTTTCTTCTCTCGATGCACTGAGATGCATTTTCTGTCCTTTCTCCGCAAAGCACAGCCCGGTGGTGGACGAGGCGAGCACGACGTGCGAGATTGTTCCGGCGTACAAGGGCAAGAATGCGCCCTTCTTTCTGGCGGGCACTAGCCTCACCATGCGTTGCCTAGGAAAGCACCTCTTCTTCCTCCCCCCCGCAGGTCACAGCCTGGTGGTGGACGAGTCGAGCATGACTGGGGAGAGCGTGCCGGCGTACAAGGGCAAGGACGCGCCCTTCTTCCTGGCGGGCACCAAGGTGCAGGACGGCCATGGCACAGCGCTGGTGGTGGGCGTGGGCATGAACACGGAGTGGGGGCAGCTCATCGCCAAGCTCACAGATAGCGGGGATGACGAGACGCCTCTGCAGGTATGGGCTGAGCTGACTGACACGGTTGGTTTGTGAGAGTGTTCAAGAGTCAGCAGCAGCGCTGGTGGTAGGCGCGTGGGCATGAACACGGAGTGGGGGCAGCTCATCGCCAAGCTCGCGCGGAGAGGGGATGGCGAGACGCCACTGCAGGTAGGTATGGGTTTTGGGTTTCGAGGTTTAGGGCTTTAGGGTGAGCTGTATGACGGGTTCTGATGTGGGGGAGTGTGAAGGGGAGGAGAGTGGATGCAGGTGGTGTGCGGTGCAGCAGGAGGTTTGAGGGCTGACTGACATTGGCCCTTGATCTCTTACCGGCATGGATCCTTGCTATCTCTCTTCCTTTCCTCCCACCAGCTCTCACTTCCCGCACCCATTCCGCCCTCCCTCCCTCCGTCCCTCCTTCCCTCCCTCCCTCCCTTCCCATTGTGTCCCTCTCAACCCCGCCCTCTCTCTCTCCCGCCCTCTCTCCCCCTGCCTATCTCCCCAGGTGAAGCTGAGCGGGGTGGCGACGCTGATAGGGCGGGTGGGGCTGTACGTGGCGCTGGTGGTGTTCGTGGTGCTGCTCTCCCGCCTCCTGCTCTCCACTCGCCTCTGGGACTGGTCCTTCCACCACACGCTGCAGGTGAGCTATGAACTCTTGAAACGAATTCAATGAGGTCCGTCCTCCGCACGCTGCAGATGGGACTGGCCCTTCCACACGCTTCTGAGAGCTCAAGCTGCGCCCACAACCCTCTCACACCTCTCATCCGACCCCCCTCGCTCAGTCCTCTCCTTTCACCCCCCCCAGCGCAGTGGCTTGCTACGGTTGTTACCAGGTGCAGAAAGGGTGTGTTCTTGCAGCTACCAGCACCACATGACCAGAAACGTTCCCACCTTCTTCCCTTCACCCACCCACCCCCAACCTCCCTCCCCCCTCCGCAACCCATCCTCCCCCCCCTCCCCCCCGCCTATCTCCCCCACACTTCCCCGCACCCTTCCTCTCTCGCCCACAGGTGGTGGACTACTTCGCTGTGGCTGTGACCATAGTGGTGGTGGCAGTACCAGAGGGCCTGCCCCTAGCAGTGACTCTCTCGCTGGCCTTCGCCATGAAGAAGATGATGAAGGACAAAGCGCTCGTGCGCAAGCTGGCTGCATGCGAGACCATGGGGTCGGCGACCACAATCTGCAGCGACAAGACGGGCACGCTCACTGCCAACCAGATGACTGTGGTGCAGGCGTGGGTGCTGGGGCGCGTGAGGAAGGTGCCACTGCTGCAGCCACAGGAGATGTTGGATAAGGAGGTACGCCCCCCGTTGTGCTGGATGTTCTCGCTTTACGTAGGTTTTGCTCCCCCCTTTTTTTCTGGGAAACTGGCAGCAGTAGAGTGCAATACGTCGGATAGGGAGGTCTAAAATCGCTGCTTCATTTGCTATTGACTCGTGAGTACGATTCCTGTCCCCCCCTCGCTCCTCACACCCGACAACCCTCCCCTCCCCCCCTCCCAGGAGTGGAAGCTTCCTGCCTCCCTCTCCGGGCCTCTCCTGCAAAACGTCTTCATCAACACCAGCGGCGACGTGCAGCTCCCCACCCCCCCCGCGCCACCGTCCTCGCTCCCGGTAGTCCTGGGCACGCCCACAGAGCAGGCCATTCTCACCTGGGGCATGCACCTCGCCTCGCCCTCCGCCTTCGCCTTCACCCGCTCCTCTGCCACAATCCTCAAGCTCGAGCCCTTCAACTCCCAGCGCAAGCGCATGGCAGCAGCAGTTCGCCTGCCCGACGGGGGTGTGAGGGTTATGTGGAAGGGGGCGGCGGAGATTATTCTCGCGTGCTGCTCCCACGCGGTGGTCGGGGTAGGGGATCAGGCGGAGGTGGTTGCACTAGACCACGATGCGCTGGGGAAAGTTGTGGAGGACTCGGCTGCTGCTGCGCTGCGCACGCTGTCACTGGCGTATAGGGATTTGAGTGCGGGGGAGGTGGAGAAGATGGGGCTGGTGAAGGGCGGGGAGTGGGTGGCGGATGTGGCGATTCCGGACGAGGGGCTGACGCTGATGGCGGTGGTGGGGATCAAGGACCCGCTCAGGCCCGAAGTGCCGCGCTCTGTCATGCTGTGCAAGCGCGCTGGGATCATGGTGCGCTGCTGGGGTGCAGTGGGGCGGGGTGGGGCGGGATGGGATGGGGTGCTCTGTGGTGTTATGGCTCTTTATTGTGGTGTTTTTTTTGGGGGGATATATTACTGGGCACCTCAGCGCATGCCATTGCTTATATCGCATGCTCTTTCTCCCTATCGCCCCTCTGCTCCCCCCACAACACCCTTTCTCCTCGCCTCCCTCCCCCAGGTGCGCATGGTGACGGGCGACAACCTGAGCACAGCCATAGCTATTGCGCGCGAGTGCGGCATTCTGACCGCGGACGGTGTGGCAGTGGAGGGACCCAAGTTCCGAGTCATGGGCGACGAGGAGAGGAGGGAGCTCGTGCCAAAGCTGCAGGTGAGAGTGCTGCTGTGACTGCAGCTGTGACTACCGGTGGGTGGCCTGCTGTGGCTGCTTGTGAGTGGCCAGCTGTGACTGCCGGCGGGTGTATTGGTGTGTTTGCCGGTGGGTGTGGTGCTGTGACTGCCGGTGGTGGTACTCCTGCTTCTCTCCATGCTGCATTAGATGGCATTCTGCTCCCTTCTTACTTCCTTTGTTCACCAGCCAACCAATACCCATCGCCATCTTTTCTCTTTCACCCCTCGATTGTTGCCCCCATTCCCACTCCCTCTTCCCCTTCCCTCCTCCTCTCTCGCGGCTCACCAGGTGATAGCGCAGTCATCCCCCTCAGAACGACGGCTGGTGCTGCAGAAGCGAGAAAGGGCGAGGCAAGGTAGCCGCAGCCACAGGCGGCAGGCATCCAATCTCCTCGTTGCCTTGTCTCCCTCACCCTCTCCACCTCTCCGCCGCTCCACCTCCCCACCTCTTCCCATTGTTCCCCCACCCTGCAGGTGATGGCGCGGTCATCCCCCACGGACAAGCACCTGCTGGTGTCGCTGCTGCGCGAGATGGGCGAGGTGGTGGCTGTCACGGGCGACGGCACCAACGACGCACCTGCACTCAAGGAGGCCGAGATAGGGCTCGCCATGGGGATTGCTGGCACCGAGGTGAGTGTGGGGGGGGAGGCAGGAATGCGAGGGTTCGGAGAGATAGGTGCGGAGCAGGAGACGGGATTGAGGTGCAGGGTTGATAGGGCTCGGCATGGCAATGGCAGGTCAGAGGAGGAAGGCAGGAGAGGAAGGCAGGAAAGGAAGGCAGGAGAGGAAGGCAGGAGAGGAAGGCAGGAGAGGAAGGCAGGAGAGGAAGGCAGGAGAGGAAGGCAGGAGAGGAAGGCAGGAGAGGAAGGCAGGAGAGGAAGGCAGGAGAGGAAGGCAGGAGAGGAAGGCAGGAGAGGAAGGCAGGAGAAGCAGGCTTGGCATGGAAATGGCAAGGCATGGAGGTCAGGGTTGAGGTGGTGATAGGGCTTGCTATGGAGAGGAAGGGATGTGAGGGGAGGTGCGGGGTGGGTAAGGGAGGTGAGGGGTGGGTAAGGGAGGTGAGGGGTGGGTAAGGGAGGTGCGGGGTGCATTCTTGGGTATTGCCAGTGCAGGGGTGAGAACACAGCTGTTTGTAATAACAAGTGAGGGGAATCACGTCGTGCACGCACCGAGTTACATCCCTCAAACCCCCTCAGGTGGCGAAGGAGAGTGCGGACGTGATAGTGATGGACGCAGATGCACTCTCTTCCACCTTCGTCCGTCTCTCTCGTTTTCCCCCCGCCCTCCCCCCCCCACCCACATGGCAGGTGGCGAAGGAGAGTGCTGACGTGATAGTGATGGACGACAACTTTTCGTCGGTGGTGAACGTGGCCAAGTGGGGGCGCAGCGTGTACACCAACATCCAGAAGTTCGTGCAGTTCCAGCTCACCGTCAACATCGTCGCACTCATCACCAACTTCGTCTCCGCCTGCATCACAGGTGCGCTGCGCCACACACCGCGCCGTGCCACTTGCTCACACGTGCCTCCTCTCCTCTCTGCCCCCTTGCTTCACACACCACTCCCCTTAGTAATCCCTTGTGGAGTGCTGCACAAGTTGGGACTGCACGTCCGTCAGTTGCCCCCTGTTTGCTTGTTTCCGCGGTTGCTTCTTGTATCTCTCTTTGAGCCTTCCCTGAAACTGCTAGATCCAAGCCAGAGCCTCCCTTGTTCACCTCACGCTCCCATCTCTCCTCCCATCACCCCAATCATCCACATCAGCCCCCACCAGGCACGACCTCCCTGACAACCGTGCAGCTGCTGTGGGTGAACCTCATTATGGACACCGTAGGCGCGCCGGCCAGCACAATGCACACAACGCTCGTTCACCTCCCTCCCTTCCCCCCACCCCCAATCACCTCCCCTCCCCCCACCAGGCACGGCCCCCTTGACAGCCGTGCAGCTGCTGTGGGTGAACCTCATTATGGACACGCTTGGTGCCCTGGCCCTGGCCACAGAGCCCCCCAAGGACTCGCTGATGCACATGAAGCCGGTGGGGCGGCGCACGCCCTTCATCACGCCGTCCATGTGGCGCAACATCGCCGGGCAGGTGCTCTTCCAGCTGCTCGTGCTCGCGCTGCTGCACCGCTTCGCAGCCCCGCTGTTCGGGCTGCAGGGGGCACTGGCAGGGGCGACCAAGCGCACGCTGGTCTTCAACACGTTTGTGTTCTGCCAGGTGAGGGGGAGGGGAAGGCGAGGGGGAGGGGAGGGTGCGACGAGTGGGGTGGGAGGAGGGATGGGAGAAATGGAGGTGGAGGGGCGGTGGTGGGATATTCCTGTGTGGTGGGAAGCTGGGCTAGCTTGACACCCCGCTCTCCTCTCCCCATCCCGCCTTTCCCTCTTCTTCCCGCCCCTCACCCCCCCGTCCCCCTCCCCCCACCCTCCCGCCAGCTGTTCAACGAGATCAACTCGAGGGAGCTGGACGAGATCAACGTGCTGCACGGCATGCACCAGAACGCCATCTTCCTCGCCATCCTGCTCTTCTCCACCGTCTTCCAGGTCTGCCTCGTGCAGTACCTGGGCAAGTTCGCCTCCACCGTGCCGCTCACCCCGCTGCAGTTTGCCGCCTGCATCTTCATCGCGTCGCTCAGCCTCCCCGTGGCCGCGGCCGTGAAGCTCATCGAGGTGCCCAAGCAGTCGGTGGTCGCCATGGGGCGGCTTACTAGCAGCATCTCGGCACACCTGCAGGCTTTCTTTCCCGAGGGGCAGGGACAGGGACAGGGGCAGGAGGGGGGAGCAGGGAAGGAGGTGAAGCAAGACTGAAAGCTTGGGGTTGATGAGGCCTGGCCTGGCTGTGACTCCTGCTGCAGCCGGGGCTACCCATGTTGTGGTGGGCATATCAACCTGGTACTTGAACAGATATGGCTCTTCGGCTGCTTCTTCCACCTAAGCCCACTTCGCTGTGCCTTGTGCCTCTCCTTTGAGTCACTTCTCAGGTCCCCTAACCCTTGCCTGCCATGCTGTGCAAAGGGGCGCACTAGAAGGGGCAGACTGACAAATCCCACCCACACCAAGCAGGCAATGCATGTGCTCGCAATACGGACTTTATTCATTCACCTGCAAATCAACGCTCGAATAGGAACATTTTGGGCATGAGAAGTAAATAGTAGAAATGCTGGTTCTTGGTATCTTATGTCATACTGTGCAAGGGATGGTAAGAGGATAAAAATTGCAGAGAAGTCGATATGTGTCAAATTACTATTGTACGTGACTACAGAAAATGTTTGTTGTTTGTTTGGTGGTGTGATTCACCGATTACACCCGACCAACCACCCACGTTCCCTAACGAAAAACACCATGGTCATCCCTATCTCGAAATTTGATTCACCATGGGCTTTCTGCTCCGCACTGATCTCTCCCTCCACCGCCTATTTTTTTTTCCATCCAAGCTACCCCGAGCACTTGATTGATTTGCCACGTCAGCGTTTGGATATTATCCGAACGGATTGCTTCCACCCCAGTACGTTTTTCTTAAATCCTTGCCACCGCAGAAGGCGGCCAGTTACCCTGCCTGTGCGCCGCCAAGGTTAGATGGCGGACGGCAGCCAATCGATAGGCAGCGGCGGCGGCGCGTACCAACCCGAAGACGATGCGGAGGCATCGGGCGGTTTTGAGAAATTTCAAGAGCAGGGTGGTGGCGGGGAGCATGTGGCTGGTAGAGCCGGCGGCGGCGGGTTATCTCTCCTGGACAGTACCTCCCACCATCGCGCTAACGCCGGTAGGCTGGAGTTAGGCTTAGGAATTATCAACGTCCCCGTACACGCCGGCGGCGGGCACGGCGTGAGTCACGGCGTGAGTCACGGCGTGCGTCACGGCGGTGGTCAGGGTTGGGGCAGGGGCGCGGGCGTGACTGCGCACTTTGAAACCGTCAATCCCCGGGCCGGCAACGCGGGTGCTGCTGACGCGCGCATGACGTGGCACGCGTCAGCACCGAAAGCATGGTCGGATGAAGGGGCGGCGCGGGGCAAGATCGGGTCGCAGGCGCACGTGGAGTCCACGTTTCAGAAGCACAGCGCGCCGGCGGCTTTTGGCGGGAAAGGCGTGCAGCATATCTCGTCGAACGCAAGCACGGACGTGCCGACGAGCAAGCACCTCAGCTGCGGAAGGTTCGACGGCGCCGCGGATGGCGGAGACGCGGGGAACCGGGGCCCGGGGGGACTGGGGGGACAGGGTGGACCGGGGGGGTTCCGCGGAACGGCGCAGCCGCACGTGTGGATGTGGGGGAAAGCGGAGTTTGCGCACGAGCAGGCGATGGCGGGGCAGGGAGGCGGGGTCGCGGAACGACACGGGGGCAGGCAGGGGGAGAGGCATGCGGAACGGTTTTCCAGCTGGGACGGTGGAAAGGGCCTGGGATTAGGGTTTCGCGGGGAGAAAATGGGCGCGCGCGCAGGCGCGCTGGAGGTGGCGGAAGCGCAGCTGAGGGACGATGGCGCGGGGGAATCGGGGGACTCTGACGATATGCTCGCGCAGCCGGAGAGGGGAAGCGCAGTGCAGCAGCAGAAGCAGCAACAATCCCAGCAGCGGCGGCAGCAGCAGGTGGCGGAGCAGCAGGCGGGGGGGAAGGGGGCGATGAGCGGATCGGAGGAGACAGCGTCGCGGAAGGCAAGCGGGCAGAGGGTGCTGAGGAGCAGCGGAGGAAGCGCGGGGAGCGGAGAGTCTCGCGGGTACGAGGGCAGTCGGATGCAGGAGCAGCAGCACTCGCAGGGCGCGCATCTGGCGGCGGGTGGCAAGGTAGGAAGGGCGGGGCAAGTGCGGGGGGCGACAGCGGCGCTCCAGTCTGGGCAGGAAGGATGAGAGGGGTGGGGGTGGGAGTGGTGGTGGTGGGGGGGGAGGGGGGGGATTGGTTGGGGGGGGATGGGTGGGGAGTCGTCCTGGGCTTAGCATGGCCAGCTGCGGTGGAGGGAAGCACGCGGGCGCTCGTCTTTGAAAGTAGTCGAATCAGGGGTTGAGGAGGGTGGGACATGGCATGGGCTGCGGGTGAGGTGAGGGTAGCAGCGTAACAGCGTAGGCATGTAGGTGCGGGCATGGAGTAGGAGAGAGAGAGAGTGGAACCATGGTGGCGCAGTCTGGGGCTTTCAGTGTTCCATCTGCGGCAAAATGGAACAATGGCATTTTGGAGCGCCATGCCTTTCCGCTGGTAAACTCTCCTCAGCTTTCCTCTCACAAAACCATGTTGGCGTTGACATGCATACTCAACTCAACCACGCCTTTCCCGCCCTTCTCCCACTTCCCTGCCCCACCCCGTCCCTTGTCTTTCCCCCTTCCTTCCCTTTGTGTGTGCCTGCCTCAGCTAGCGCCTCCCCCGGCTGCCCCTGAGCCAGTCCCCGCCTGGTGGCTCCACCAGGGTCAGGGCGCCTCCGCCCTCCCCCACTACTCCCCATTCCCCGCCAACGCCCCCGCCCTTCCCCCCTACGCCTCTGCGATCCCCCCCTCCGCCTCTACTGTCCCCCAGTCCGCCCCCGCGCCCTGGGCCTCCCCTGCGCCCGCCCAAGCACACGCTCGAGAGAACAATGAGACGTTTCTCAAGGGGCCTGGAGGCTTCATTGCTGCTGCTGGTGATGTTGGTGCAGGGGGGCAAGATGATAGACCTGCGGCCGTCACGGGGGGGCAAGCGGGAGGGAAAGGAGTGGTGGTGGCAGTGGCAACGGCAGGAGGCGGGGAGAGGGAGGGGCGGGGGATGAGCGCACCTGGGAGGGATATGCTGGGGGAGAGGGGAGAGAGGGGAGATAGAATGAGTGGGGTGAAAGGGATGGGTGGCAACAGTGAGGGTATGCCGAAGGAGCAAGGGTCGTATGGTGATCACATCATGCGCCGACAACCTGAGAGGAAGGTGATGAGGCCTCACTCTCCCCCTCACTCTCCCCCTCACTCTCCCCCTCACTCTCACCCTCACTCTCCCCCTCACTCTCCCCCTCACTCTCCCTCTCACTCTCGCCCTCACTCTCCCCCTAACTCTCCCCCTCATTCTCCCCCTCACTCTCCACCCCTCAAACAAACACGCAATCGCAGTCTTAAAGCCCTGACTCTCCACGCTCCTCTTTTCCTCCTTCCCCTTCCGCCCCCTCCCTCCCACCAGGTCTCCATGCTCCGCCTTACCCACCCCCCCCTGCAGTATAACAATCTGTGCCCGCCCCCAGGCGTTTCTAAGGCGCCTCAGAAGGTTTCGTCCCCATTCTGCACCTCCCTCCGCCCCACACCCCCCCCCACCCCCCTCCCCCCCCCTCCGCCGCCTCCCACAAGGACTCCACGTTCCACCTAACCAGGCCCTCCCCACAATACCACGATCTGTGCCCGCCCCATGCTGTGTGTATTGAGCCTGCTCTTGAGCTGGCTCAAAGGCTTTCCCCCCCATTCCCCTTCCCCCTTCTTCCTCCCCCCCTCCCCCCCCCCCCCCCAATCCCCGCGCCAGGTCTCCATGTTTCACCTAGGCCAGCCGCCCCCGCAGTACCACGATCTGTGCCCGCCCCCAGGTGCGCGCATCCTCTGGCGCTCGCCAGACGCCGCCCCGCATGCATTCGACGCGCCCCAGAAACGCATCTCAGATGCGCCCCCCTCCTCGGCCCCCGCCGCTCGTGCTGCCCTAGACCAGAGATTCCCTGACTTACCACCCCCCTCTTCCGCCTCCACCTCTCGTGCTGGCGTTGACCAGAGGTTGCCGGACGGCTGGCTGGTGCATGCTGGGTTGAGCGTGGAAGGGGTGGGGGCGGGGCAGGGCGACCGAAGGGGGGCAAGTGGGGGGAAATTCGGGGGAGGTGGGGGAAGTTTGGGGAATGTGGGGAATGAGCCCTGGCAAAGTGCTGTTGCTGGTAGCAGGCTTGGAGGGTTGAGCAGTGAAGGGGGGGAGAGAGGAGGGGCGAGCGGAGGGGGAGGAGGAGGGGGAGGGGGAGGAGGGGGGGGGGGGGAGGAGGAGGAGGAGGAGGAGGAGGAGGAGGAGGAGGAGGGGGAGGAGGAGATGGAGGAGTTGGAGTGGGAGGGGAAGGAAACGGAGGAGCGGGGCTAGCAGCAGCAGCAGCAGCAGCAGCAGCAGCAGCAGCGGCAGTATCGGCATCTGGTTTGGAGGTGGAGGCTTTGCTGCTGGTGAACCGGCAGCTGAACTGGCAAGTGGAAGAGCTCAGAGAGGAGGGCCGGCGCGCAAGGGAAGAGGCAGACACACTGCGAGCCCAGGCGAGTGCAGCAGAGAGCGGAGGGGAACGAGGAGGGGAGAAGGGAGGGGAGAGAGCGAGAGAGGAGAAGCGGGAAGGACAGCAGAGCCGGTGGCTGCAGCCAGCGATCCAGCGCATGGAGAACCAGATCGTGGTGCTGACGGGGAGGGTGCTGCAGGTGCAGCACGAGAGGGACGGGCTGCAGCGGCAGCTGCGAGTGGTTCGGGACCGAGTGGCCGGGCTGGAGAGGGAGAAAGAGGAGCTCGTGCTGCAGCTGGGGCAGCAGAGCGGGCACGTGGGGCAGCAGAGCGGGCAGGTGGGGTTGCGGCAGGTGCGGCGGCAGGAGGGCCATGGGGGGCAGGAGGGAATGAGGGAGCAGGCGGGGCAGCAGGCAGCACAGGGGGAAGAGGAGGGGCGGGTGCAAGGCGCTGGGAGGGAGCTGCGAGAGGTGGTGGCGGGTGTGGGGGTTGGGTTGGATGGAGTGAGAAGGGGCGGATGCAAAGACGAGGAGATGGAGGAGAGAGTGGGGGCAGAGAGAGGGGAGGGGAGAGAGGGGAGAGAGGGGAGAGAGGGGGGAGAGGGGGGAGAGGGGGGAGAGGGGGGAGAGGGGGGAGAGAGGGGAGAGGGGGGAGAGGGGGGATTGGAGATGCGAGGGATGGAAGGGGGGACAAGGGGCATGAACCCGTCGGACGCTGACTGTGTGGGCGGAAAAGTGGTTGGTGGGAAGGGTTTGACTGGTGAAGGTCGTAGCACGGGCATGGAAATGAACAGAGCAATACCGGCTTCAGAGATAGCAGCGCACAGGGTGGCTTCGACTTCTGCTGTGGTGCATGGGATGGCAGGGCGTGAGGAGTCTATTTTTGAGGCGCCTCAAAAAAGGATGGCAGGGCGTGGGGCACTAGAGAGTGGACTGCCTGGAGTGCGGTCCGCACGTGGGGAGTTTGGTGATCCCCCCGCTATCCCTCCCCGACACGCCCATACCGACACCCATACCCATGCCAACACCCATGCCAGTGCGCATGGCCCCCCGGCCTGCATGCCTACTCCGTGCCTGGCACTCGCACCCCAGCAGCGCGACGGCATGGCTGGCAGCATGTGGCACTCCATGCAGCAGCACATGCACCAGGCGCTCTCGTACATGCAAGCGCTTGCGCCGCTGCTAGAGGGGCAGAGACATATCCACGTGCAGGGGAGGGGAGCAGGTGAGGGGGAGGGAGAGGGAGAGGGGGAGGGGGAGGAAGAGGAGGAGAGACAGGCAGAGCATGAGGGAGAGAGAGAGGGGAGCAGAGAAGGGGTTGAGCACGGGGGTGTCCTAGGAAGGGTGGGTGCAACGGCCAGTGGATTGAAAGTGGAGCCTAAAGGGGAGGTGCAGAGCGGCCCTATGCCCCGGGTGGTTGCGCCATCAGGAGACGGTGATGGCCGCTCACTCGCACACAAGCCCGCTGCTGTCCTCACGCCCCATTCTGCACTCTCTGTGCCAGCACAAGTTTCCTCTGCTGCTGCTGCTGCTGCTGCTGCTGCCCCTGTCCCTGCTGCTGCTGCCGCCATTGCTGCTGCTGGTGTGGGAGGAGCAGGCGCATCCGTTGCCGGTGCAGGGGGGGGGATAGGAGCGGAGGCAGTGAATGCGGTGCGGGAAGTGGCGGAGGAAGCAGTGGCGGTTCAAGGCATGGTGGAGCAGGCCTTTTCCAAGGCCCAGGCGCTCTCACAGCTGCACAGCGCATGGCTGCTGCAGCCGTCACAGCAACCGCAGAAGCAGCCGCAGGAGAAGGAGCAGCAGCAGGAGCAGCAGCAGCAGGAGCAGCAGGAGGGGGAGGAGGAGCAGCAGGAGGAGCGACAAGGGCCAGCAGGGAAGGTTCAGCTTGGTAATAGTGTCTCTGGAGCAGCTGCTGGTCGCAATGGGGCAGCAATGGAAGGAGCAGGGCCAACAGCAGAAACAACTAAGGCACCGGCAGGCAAACCAGCAGTAATAGCGACAACAGAAGGAGCAGTGGCAGCAGCATCAGTGCGAGAAGAAATATGTGCAGGGGGCAGCGTGGGGGATTGGGGGGTGCCGGGAGGGAAAGACAAGCAGCAGCCAGCAGCACTCAAAGCCGAGGCTCCAGGTGGTCACGGGAACGGGGTGGGGGATGGTGATGTGGGGGATGTGCACATGGAGTTGTTGGCTCTGGCACATGATCTTGCCATGGCCTGTGCGTTGCTGGGCAGCCTGCAGACCAAGGCGCTTGCAGCACAGGAATGGGTCAGTAGGAGTGTGAGCGAGGGGGGCACAGCAGCAGCAGGAGGAGGACGAGGAGGAGGAGGAGTGGGTATGAGGGGGAGAGAGAGCAGGAGTGTGGTGGAAGGTGAGAGTGGTCCGTGGAGGAAGGGAGGAGGGCAGGAGGGAGGGGAGAGGAGGGCGGCAGGGGGGATTTTGCAAGGGAGGAGTGGCTATGGCAGCAGCAGGGCTGATGGGACGCGACAGGGCAGAGGTGAGTGCCTCTCCCACCCTGCGGTCTGCACATTGCCTAGGCGGCCTGGCCGCCTGGCTGCTGTCTTTCTCTCTCATGGTCATGTTTGCCTTCCCGTCTCCCGTCACCTCCCTCTCCTTCCCCCCCCTTTCCCCCCTCCTTTCGCTCTCTCCCGTCCCCGTGTCCCCCCTCTTTCCCCCCGCTCACCCATCCCGTGCTGTCAGACGAGGAGCGGTGGTGGGAGGGGCAGTGGTGGGCAGGCACGGGGGCGAAAGACACGGCATCGCGCAAGCGCAAGGCGGGAGAGGAGGAGCTGTTGCTGCTGTTCAATGGAGAGGGCCTCCTGCAATGGGGAGGGGCAGCAGGGGGGGGTGCTGCAGGTGCTGGGGGAGGAGAGGGGGGGGGTGGGATGCGAGGCAGCGGCAGAGGGTGGAAGGAGCAGGGGATGTGGAGGGTGGTGTGGGGCCGAGCCGGGCGGGTGTGAGAGGGGAGGAGGAGATGGGGTTGTGGCAGGAACTGTCTCGAATGGAGCAGATTCTAAACGTAGGGGAAGCTGGGGGAAGGGGTGGGTTGGTAAGCAGGGTCGACAAGGGGGAGCAAGGAGGAGGAGAGGGTGGTGGTGGTGGTGGTGGTGGTGGTGGTGGTGGTGGTGGTGCTGCTGCTGCTGCTGCTGCTGCTGCTGCTGCTGCTGCTGCTGCTGCTGCTGCTGCTGGTGTTGGTGCTGGTGGTGGTGTGGGTGGTGGTGGGGCTGGCAGCACAGGAGTTGGGAGGGACACAGCAAGTGTAGTGGAAGTGACGGAGGGCCTTCGGAGGCTGGTGGGGAGAGTTGAGGCAGTGGTGTTGAGGAATGCTGAGCTCATGGCTGCCATGGATGCCATGCCGGAGAAAGCTAACCATGCCACTGCGTGATGTCTAGTGGGCCTTGCATTGGTGGGAATGTGAACACTGTTTTCTTGGGGGCAAGGATGGGAAATGGGAATTGACTAGCGTGACCATTTTATGAGTGAAGAAGCAAGTTGGACCAAGACACCCTCTTCGTGTTGGATGTTCACCTACCCAAGGGTAGGAGAACTGAAACTTCAATATTTTTCATTTTCACTCGTTATTGTCGGAGTGTTCCAGAGATTGAGAGATTTAGTATGGCAACTGAAAGCGGTTTGTGGGGAAAACCCGAAACCCGCACTTTATCTGCCCGTCTGGGATCTGAAAGTTCTAACGTTTCCATGAAATGTGATATTTCTTTCACACAGCTGTCAGAATAAAGTCTGACAGCTTGCCCTTTGGTATCTAACAATTTGAGCCACAGAAATATGTCGTGAACCAGCTCAAGATCATGCACCAGGTACGGGCAGCTGGAATGGACACCATGTGCTCTGGCCCACAAACCGAAGAAATACACCCCGAAGCAGTACGCTCCGATGTGGCATTCCCACGTAAGTTGGCGAATGAGAGCAGAGCAGCAATACAGGGCGTATTCTGGGCTCAGGGCATCCATGCCAAGGCATTCAGGGCATGTACACTTGTAGCAAGAGTTGGCAGTCGCGCCGCCATCACTCCCAGCCACAAATGCATTTCGCCCTCCGCAAAATCGAGGGGTCGAGGTGAGATGGACGGGTTTAGGAGGGCCATGAAACGCACGTTCCACTGTTGCTTTCAACCACTGATCAAACCGCCTCGCATCGATTCCTGTCCACCCCCCACCACCATCCCTCCGCTGCTCCTGCCTGATGCACCTTCCCTGCCACCCTCCCCTCGCTTTTCCCCCTCCCTGGCTTGAGGCAACTGCCAGCTCACTCGATTCATCCCCTCTGGCAACGTACGTACAGTACCGAACTGTACGTGTGGTACTGTTTCGAAGCGCGGCCCATTCCGAAATCGTGACTCGTGCGACTGTCACACAAGACTCCAGTAGAAAGGACGCCATGACCTCTGGACTTCTTCGTAGAATCGGCAGGTAACCATTTCGTTTTCAATCCGACCTGCGCCCATATCTCCCTCACAGCTTTTTGAGGATTCGTCTGTTGCACTGACCGTCCATTAGTCCTGAACACGGATCATCACATCACGCCATGAGAGCTTTGGATCTTCTTACCCGCACGAAGAAAAGCCGCACACCTCCTTCCCCCCACCCTCCTCCCAAGGCCAGCCTGCCTCCGATTTCCGCAGAATCTGAAGCCAACTCTCCGCGGAACTTCCCGCCGCCATACCCGCAACTCCCGCCGTCGTCTCCGCATCTGCGATCTCAAACCGCGGGCATCATGACGCGGGAGGAAGTCGAGGTTCGCGCGCTCGGAGTCAGCGCCTATCCCGGGTCTCGAGAACTGCCGTTCCAACCGGGCGCGCGATCCGGTCTGTCGATCGACACGGCGGGGACGGACCACTCCGGCGTGATGGTTCACGTGCCCAAGGATTGCTCGTCGACGGACGAGTTACAGCAGCGCCGCAAAAGCCTCGCGCAACTCGCGCCCGAGCTCGTCGCGCCGCCTCCGCCTCCCACTGTCCCCGTCGTTTCAGCGGAAGACCTCTCCGCCCTAGACATTGCCGCGGTCCTCGCGGATTGCCGCTCCCCCGACACCGCCCGGCGGCTCCACGGCGCAAGGACCCTGCGCGCGCTGTCGAAGGAGTCCGACGCGCATCGTACGGTTCTGGTCGCGGCGGACGGCGTTGTAGATACGCTGGTTGATCTACTATCGGAGCCTAGCGGCGGGGTGTCAGAGGAAGCTATAACGGCTTTGTTAAATATCTCAACGAGTGACTCCAATAGGCGACTTCTCCCGTCCATGGGTGTGCTCCTCCCTATCGTTCGCGCGCTTGCCAGCGCAGCTCAGCCGATGGTTGTTCGAGAAACCGCCGCCGCCGCCATTTTCAGTCTGTCGGTGGAGGACGACGTTAAAGTGGCGGCTGGCGACGCGGGCGCCGTGGCGCATTTGGTGGAGATCCTGCGGTTCGGCTCGCAGCAGGGCAAGCGCGACGCGTGTAAAGCTCTCTTTAATCTCTCCATGGCTGGCTGCAATAAGGCGCGCGTTCTGGAGGCGAACGGTGTGCCGGCTTTGGTGGAGCAACTCACAGACGGAAGCAGCGGAATCGCGGAAAAGTCGGCGGCGGTGCTGGCGAACGTGGTGACCGTTGAAGCGGGGCGCGACGCGGTGATGGAGGAGGAGGACGCGGTGCCGCACCTGGTGGAGGTTCTCGAGACGGGCACGCCGCGAGGCAAGGAGCACGCGACCGTGGTGCTGTTCCAGCTGGCGTACCACAGCGAGGTGCATCGCGCGGCCATTCTTATGGAGGTGGTGATTCCGCCACTCGTTCGCATCACGAAGATGGGCACCGCTCGAGCGCGAGATAAGGTGAGCCGCGGCGCTGGGTTTCTTAGCCATTTCAGCGTGAGGATATTTTTTTCGACACAATGTGCTGCTCCTGTCTCTTGTGCTAGCTTTCCCTTCACAATTGCCATCTCAAGTTTGTCTCAGCAGCCGATTTACCTCGTTTTTTTTCTCTTTTCTTCCTATGTCTTGCCAGGCGACACAACTACTCTCCATTCTTCGGAAAACCACTTGAAGTCTAAGAATGGGCTGGTTGCGGCGCGGCGCGTCGCCACCCTAAGTGCAGCCCCTTTGCGGACTAGGCTGCAGGAAGAAATAAGACGCACGCGTGCTGCTTACGGCATTCGCGAGGCGTATTCGAGCCAAAACAGGATACAGACAGAACAACCTTTATTCCATTCATTGTTTCCCCTCCCTCCCAAGCACCTCTTCGCTATCTTTTAGCGGAGACGTGCCCACTGGGCCTTCTGCTGTTGTATTGTTTCAGTTTCTGTTATGAATTCTAATTCAAAGAATAGCACAGTATTCAATAAGGGGAACGTGATTACAATGTGTTGATGGAAATGAGGCCTAGGGAATAAAAAGGACGATTTGACGAACACATTTGTATATGGTACTATAGCCTAGATAGGGGCATGCCTTTAAGAGAGTACAACTCATTAGGTCAAACCCTCCATATACCCCTCTTTCTAGCTTATTCTGCTACTCTGAAATGGTATCAGCTTAGGTTAGGACAGCCCACCAGCTTCCGCCCTAGCCCTGGCCTTCGCACCCCGCTGTTCACCTAGCGCCTGGCTGACCTTAGCTCCCCGCTGGCCTTAGCGCCCCGCTGGCCGTTTTCACGCCCCGCTGGCCGTTTTCGTGCCCCGCTGACCCCCCCAAGCACGCCCCGGCAGTCCTTCGCGCCCCGCCAGGCCCTTCGCGCCCCGCCGGCCCCTCGTGCCCCGCTGGCCCCTTTTGCGCCCTGCCAGCCCTTTACGCCCCGCCAGGCCCTTAGCGCCTGGCCGGCCCTTCGCGCCCCGCCAGGCCCTTTCGCGCCCGGCCAGCCCTTCGTTCCCCGCCAGCCCTTCGCGCCCCGCCAGGCCCTTTCGCGCCCCGCCAGCCCTTCGTGCCCCGCCAAACCCTTTCGCGTCCCGCCGGCCCCTCGCGCCCCGCTGGCCGTTTCGCGCCCCACCAGTCCTATCGCGCTCCCGTGGCCCTTCGCGCCCCGTCAGTCCTTCTGCGCCGTGCTGGCCCTTTGCGCCCCGCCAGCCCCTTTGCGCCCCTGCTGGCCTGTTGCGCCCCGCCGGCCCTTCCGCGCCCCTGCTGGTCCATTGCGCCCCGCCGGCCCTTCCGCGCCCATGCTGGCCCATTGTGCCCTGCCGGCCCCTTCTGCGCGCTGCTGGCCTTGTGCGCCCCGCCCGACCTTACGCGCTCCTGCCGGACCTCTACGCCCCGCCAGCCCTTCCGAGCCCCGCGGGCCCTTCGCGCCTCCACCACTCGGTGCGCCCCGCTTGCCTCGGTCGCGTTCGCCTTCGTTCCTGCTGTGGAACCGTGCCGCCGTGGAGCCATACCGCCGTGCCGCGGAGTCGTCGTGCCGCCGTGTCGTCGCGCCGCCGTGTCGTCGTGCCGCTGTGCCGCCGTGTCGCTGTGCCACCGTGGCGCCGTGTAGCTGAGGTCGTATGATGGCGGACTCTGTACTCCGCCTGGACGCGGAGGGGCATGCGCTCAACTTTGCCGCCTGGCTTGTCGATCTACGCCGTCACCTCATAGGTCAGCACCAGGATGGTCACTCCCTGGCTGTGCATGTCGATGGCTTGCTTCCCTGCCCCTCCACACCTGATCCCCTCCCTGCTGACCCCACCATTGCTCAGCTTGAGGCCTTTTTTGCTGTTGCGCTTGCTCGCGCTGTCTGAGATTCGCGCGATGCCGTAGCGCAACTTGCCATTAGTCACGCTCTTCCTCTGCCCGAGCGTCCGCGCTTTACTGCTGTCGCGAACGCCAAGGAATTCTTAAATGCCGTAGTTGCGCGCTACTCCACGCCCGCCTCCTCCTCTGCTGGCCTCCTGATCCACCCCATGTTGTTCCTTGATCTTGCCGCCTTCCCCACTGTAGCTGACCTAGCCACTCACCCCCGTGCACTAGAGGCTAACTACCACGCCGCTAACACTGAGGCCCAGCTTACTGCCTTCCTTCCGCCGCTCTGTGCTACCCTGTACCTCATTACCACGCGCCTTCCGCACCGCTTAGCCACTGCCCGCGACCACTTCCTTAGTCAGCACCCAGGTGACCTTACCCTTACCGCCTTTGTTACCGCCCTGCCCAAGATAGAGACTCACCCGCGCACTATCGCTCAGTCGAGCGGTACTGCGGCAGTCCCTATCTTTCAAAGCCGTGCGCCCTCCAAGTGCACTTACTCTGACGTTTCTGCCGCTGTCGCCGCGAGAGCCCCTGCTGCTGAGACCGCAGCTGCAGCCTCAGCACACCCGCGCTAGCGTCGGGGCCGCCGCTCCAAAGGGGGGCATGGTGGTGGGGGTGGCGGCGGGGACAGTGGGTCCGACGAGGGGACCGGGGCTAGTGCCCAGGATCAGCAGCAGCAACAGCAACAGCCTCCGCAGCAGCAGCAGTAGCCTCCGCAGCAGCAGCAGTCGCGGGTCCGCCTTCCGCCGGGGTGGCTCGGTGCCTCTAGTGGTGGTGGCCCTCGCAGCTCGGCGTCGGGCGGCAGCTTCGGCGGTGGGGGCTGCCAGTACCAGCTCCAGATAGGCCCCCTCCGCGGCACTGTCTGTCGTCGCCCGCACCCTACCGCCCGCTGCTTCCGCCGCCCCAACGACCTCTTTCGTCGCCGATTCGGCCCGACGCCGGACCTCCCTAACTGAGCCAGTCTAGTGCGCCACGGTGTGCCTGTCCTTGAGTTAGATATGGATCAGATTTGTTCTGCTCTGCATTCTCTGTATGCCGATGCTTCTAGTGTGCCCCGATCTTATTACCTTGTGCTGCCTAGTTTAGGTGTGTTTCCTCTGTGTAGTGCAGACTCCCCTGCTGCGTCACGCGTAGGACTTTCTGCCTTGTTTAGTCTAGGCTCCATGCTCGCTCCTCCACCGGCTGCAGCTTTTGCTTCGCTCTCCTTTACGCTTGACTATGGCGTGTCGGCCTGCTTCTTCCGCGACCAAGCTACGCTGACGTCGCTTGCAGCGCCTGCCGTTGTCGCGCTTGCTGACCCCTCCTCCGGTCCTGTCGTTGCCCGTAGCTACAGTACCCTTCCTTGTCCAGCGGTTCCCTCGGGTTCTCTTACATGCCTGCACATCCCTTCGTTCTCCAGAAACCTAGTTGGTGTCGGCTGTCTTCAGGACCTCGGCGTCACCACTACGTTCCCTGGTCACGAGCGGTACGCTGTCTGTACCGAGGCCGCCTCAGGTGCCCCCCTGTGACGTTCCCTCGGGACCCGGTGTCTGGCCTGTTTACGCTGGACACTGCTTCCCCCCCGGTGGGCGCGTCCTCCATGGTTCCTGCGTCTACCCAGGTCTCTGCGGCTTGCTCATGTCGGTCGCTCACTCAGCCGTCGCTTCTGTAGCACCACAGCATAGGTCACCCCGCACTCCCGCATCTGCGTCACATGTCTCAGCACGGTCTTGTCCTAGGTCTCCCTTCGTTGCTCTCTGCTCTCCCTCCCTCACCTGCGCCGCCGTGCACGCCCTGCATTGAGGGTTGGCTACACCGTGCTCCTCACTCCTCCTCGCTTTGCCTTGCCACCGCGCCACTCCAGACCTTGCACCTGGACGTCTGGGGCCCAGTCCTCGTCCCTGGGCCGCGTCGAGAGCGCTACTTTCTAGTGCTTGTCGATGACTACACCCGCTATACCACAGTGTTTTCTTTGGAGCAGAAGGGCGACGTGCCTGACGTTCTTATTTCGTGGATCATAGCTGCGTGCATCGACCGCGGTTTCCCTGTGCTGTGTCTCCACACCGACCGTGGTGGCCTCCGGTCGGCTTGGACAATTCTGTCGTGCGGAGGACATCATCCAGTCGTACACCCTACTGGACTCCCCACAGCAGAATGGGGTCGCTGAGCGATGCATTGGTTTGGTCATGGAGGTGGCTCGTACCTCCATGATCCATGCCGGTGCACCCCATTTTCTGTGGCCGTTCGCCATTCGCTACGCCGCTCACTAGCTTAACCTGTGGCCACGCTCCCAGCAGCCGCAGGTTTCGCCGACCCTTCTCTGGAATGGGCTGCCTGGTAACGCGTTCGCGTTCCACATCTGGGGCTGCCTCGCTCACGTTCGTGCCTCTGGCACGGACAAGCTCATTGCCTGCACTGTCTCCTGTGTCTTCCTTGGTTTCTCCCTTGACTCATCTGATTGGCACTTTTACCACCCCGCCATCTCACCACTTCTTTCACTCGTGTGACGTCACTTCCGATGAGTCAATCTCCTACTATCACCGCTTTCCTCACTGAGGTCTCCCAGTTTCACCGCCCCTGTTTTTGGTACCCACTCCCCCGGTAGCCCGTGCTCCCCTCCCTCCCCGTCCTGCCCCGTCTGGTGTGTCTCACGTCACTCCCCTCCTGTCAGTTGTCCCGGTCGAGGAGTCGGCTGACTCTGGTGGCCCCGCGGCGCAATTCTTGCCGCTTGTTTCTCCCCCAATGTCCCCTCCTCTGCCGTCGAAAAAGCCACCGCTGTCATGGCCGCGGCAGCAACCGCAGCCGTCGTCGCAGCCATAGCAGTAGCCGCCGCCGCCGCCGCAGCAGCATCCGTCCGCGAGCACTGGGGGTGCGGGAGTTGAGGAGGGTGCTGGTCCTGGGGGTGCTAGTCCTGGGGTTACTGTCGTGGCTTGTCCCGGCGGTCTCGGGGGTGGCACCGGTACTAGAGAGGGTTCTCGTTTTGGGGGTGCTGGAGTGGAGCGTTCCGGAGGTAGCCGTGGTCCACCTGGAGGTTCTCGTGTCGGCGTCGAAAGGCAGCAGCAGCAGAGGCCACCGGTTTCCGCCCTTCGTCTGCTCGGCCTTCCCTCTCCTAACCACCCGCCTACGCCTTCCCCGCCACCGCCTCCTTTATCTGTCTACGGCCCTCTGTTTCCTCCGCCGGACTTGTCCTCGACTCGTTTCCCCCCTTGTTCTCCTCCAGTGACTCCTCCTGTGTCTCCTGACCCGACGTCTCCGTCCCACTTCTCGTCTCGTCGTCCCCTCTTGTGCTCATTCTGTCTCTCCTGTCCAGTGCTCTCACCCGATGTTGCTTCGTTCCCACGTGTCTCGTCCTCCCCTCCTCCCCTTACCTCCTCCGTCGTCACTCGCTACCCTCGCTGACTACGTGAGGATAGAGGACAGCATGGTCCTCTGTCTGACTACCTTTGTGCCGCTTGTCCTCTTGTGCCTCGGGTCCTGTGTCCCTCGTTACTGACCCGTTTGTTCCTCTCTCGAGTCTTGACGCTCTTGTCGCTGCTGTCGTTGACTTCGCCTCTTCTCGCCGCGTGGACTATGCCATGGCTCTGGTCTCTGGCCCTGCCTGCCCTCCGTCCGTCGG